AGCTGCGGGGAGCTGCTGGTGGGAGGCTCTGGGAGTGCTGGGAGAGTCCGGCAGTGATTGCGTAGGAAACCCAACTGTTGGGAGGATGACATTGCTCCTTTTGCAGGGCGGGCAGTTTCTGCATCGGTTGAAATTGTGGTCAGGTGTTCTGTACTAAAGCAGACTGGATTTCCCAGGTAAAGCATGCAGCAGAGCTTTGTGGGGGGGGAAGGTGGAGGAGGTTACATTCATCCATACAACTTAAAAATGGGGGAGTTATCCCTTTTCTCAGGGTTTCCTTGTTCAAACATTCCCTGTAAGTTTGTAAAGTACATTGTACTTTTGTATTAATGTATGTTCTGTGGACATAAATACAAATGGACACATTAATGTGTTCAAAAAATCTCAAAAGATGATAAACAAATAAAGAATCCTCCACATCCCAACCAGATGCTGGGAACATGCACACCCTAACCAGCTGCGCAGAGGAATAATCCCTGCTGTGACTGCTTTACACCTGGAGTGCTGTAATTACCTGTTGGTTATTTAAAAAGCACTAGGCTTAATTTTTTATTTCTTCCAGAGCTCTTCCCTGTGTCTGTGCCTTGCTATACAGTCCTTGTGGGCACCGCAGCTACTTCAAGTGAAATCCACCATCATTGGCTATTCCCATTAAAATACTGGGTCTGTTAACTGAAGTTGTTTCATGAGCAGCTCAGCTGCCCAGGCAGAAGTGGTGGAGGTTTGGGGATGGTAATCCTTTTAGTTATCCCTGTGTAAGCTGTCCTGCCTCAACTTGATACCAAGGGAAACTCATTGCCTTAGCAGAAACAATTTCAGATGCCACGTCTTTTCTTGATATGAGTAACCAGAATTCATCTTAATTTAAATCTGAGGCTGTCATCAAGGTTATAAACTCAATGCATGAGTGCTGGGAAACATCCTTAAGTACCCTCCAGATGGACTCCGGAAAGATTATTATGCTGTAATTTGTTTTTGGAGCTCTACAAAAGCAGTATTTGACCTTGGGACTATGACTCTGCTATTCCTCCTTCCACCTTCCCCACTGCTTTTGTCCAGACCGGTTTTGTTCAAATTAAAGGACTGGTGTTAGAGCTTCTGTTTGCCCAGGAGAGGTGCTTCCCAGCTGATGAGGGTTGCTTTCCATCAGGTGTTTCCCTCGTGGTTTTTCTTTGTTTCTGCTATGTGACTGAAGGGTTGGAGGGTGAGGAACCCTCTGAAACCTCAGCCCTAGGGCGGGTAGGTGCAGGGTGACAGGGAGATACCTGCTTGTGCCTGCACAGAACCAGAAGTGAATTGGACCAGTGAGTCATTTTAGGAATAATAGCTTCATGTTGGTAGCTGAGGTTTTCTTTTTTTTTTTAAGATAGTAATAATTATTATTAATAAATAGCTTTGAGTTTAACAATTGCAAAACAGGGTGGCCTGATAGCCCAGGGACTGGGCATTTTGCTGGGGAATAAGGCAAAACTCTCCCCTCCCTCTGGTACATTGGGGTAGGGAGGCCAGAGGCTTCCAACCCCATCTTGCTGACACTCATTGCTTTGCTGTGGAAGAGCAGAGCCTTCAAGATGTCTCATCTATGTAGCATGAATTTCAGTCACATTTCAAGGACTCCTTCAAATTAGTCTGCAGGCTCCCAGAAGCCTGTCAATGACAGGCTGAAAACTGTTGTTCCAAGCCCAGGAAAGCCAAATTGCAAAAGGTATGACCAGGCTGCAGTTTTAGAAGCGTGCTGATCAGAAAGCCAGGACTCCTCATCTGCTGGGAACTGACTGATGGCTATGGACAGTGTGTTCTGTGTTCTCAGCAGGGCTGAGCTTGGCAGGGAAGCACTGAAATCCCATTTGCCCACTTGCTGTATGGGTTCAGTTATTAAACACATCAGGAATCTCCGTCTGCTTTGTAAGCCTGTCTGTAGAAACATAACCCAAAGCTTGGCTCCTGCAAAGTGCCATTTGCCTTTGAGTCAAGTTGGAGAGAGCTGGAGCTGTGCAAGCCGCCTCCTTTCTAGGGTAAGACTCTCCTGTGGGTGCAGAAGGAGTCATGCTGTTTGTATTGTGCTTGTGTGCCAGGGCTCTTGCTGAAATGGACTCTTGGTTTGTGTACGGGGATGTTTGGGAAGGGGATGGAGCAGGAGGTGGAGGTGATGTTCACCTGTCCCCCTTCCCTCACTGCAAACTGTCCCGTGTTCTGTGAGCCGCTACATGTTGTATGCAAATACTGAAATGTTTTTGGTGCCTCTAGAGAGGCTTTGACTTTCTGTCTAGAAGCTATTAATTACCTAGACAAGGAAAGCAGAACATACCCAATTAATGGCTCCTACCACTTAGACCTGTCTCTCCGGCTGATCCGCTATGAACTAATGAGCAGCTCCTTTCGCTGGGCCACCAGTGAGCTTGAACTTCTCATCGGTTTTCCTGTGGAGAAATGAAAGCAGCAGCAATGTGCAGGAACAAATGGCTGGAATTCAGTTATTAACCTAGGCTGAAAATTGACTCTATCTGCTAGTAATTACCCAGGGGATGTTAGGAGAAAGGCCTAGTGGAGGGTTCAGAGCTGGTATTTGACAGACGATCACAAGCAATTGAGTTAGCATTACTTAAGTTCCTATCCTGCATCTGAGGTGCAGTGATGTGCTGGGTAAGTATAGCAACTTCAACGCAAACCTGGAGTAAAATGGGTTAGTTTAAAACAGCTCCACTCCCAAATGACTCCCCTTTTTCGTGATATTTTATGGCACAGCTGCATAGCATCTCATATATTTTTGAGTACCTTTAGTTTACAGGTCATTTAATTTATTTGCAGGCTTTGTTTCGATTCCCTAAGGTATTTTGTTCCTTTGCACGTGTCTTTCTACAGAGGCATTAAATTGTGCAGTTTGTCACAATAGTTCAGCTTTTATGCTGGCAGTTGGTGCTCTTCAAAGATCCTTGTGTGAAGTTTAGGCTCCTGAATCATTAGAGGATCTTGAAAGAAAAGGAATAATTTAAAGGCGAAGATGTTTTGTCGTCTTTGAAACTGGGAACGTGCGAAAGGAGAAAATGTTTAGCAGTACCATCCGCCTCAAAGAACTTCTCTTAGGAACTCCAGAAAATGAATTTCCTTTCTTTATTCAGGATGCAAATAATCGAAAATGTCACTCCTGAGCTGAGTAATTTGTTCAACAAAAGGATCTCGAGGAGATGACTCCCCTAGCTTTCATGAACGTGCCCAAGACATCAGAGGACCTGTCTCTTTAGCAGTATGAACTGAAGGGTTTGAAAATCAAATGAGCAGCATGTTCTGTGCAAAATATATAAATAAATCTTGCAGGTGCTTTGTATAATCTCCCTTGCATTTTAAAAGCCTTGTTTATCTGGGTAGTCTGGGGTTTAGGTTAGCTCCTGGGAACTGCGAACGGGTGTAGGGATGATGTGTTGTTACAAGGCTGGTTGTTAATGTGCTGTTTAATGTACTTGGGAGTGTGGCTGAAGTAGTAGTATGGTTACTATATCATTATTGCACATTGGCAAGGAATTGCATTTTTTTCCCCTTAATTTAAAGTTCCTTGTGTATGTTTATTAAACTGAGATTAGTACTGTGTAACAGCTCTAATATTTAAGTCCATGTTTAATGTAAGAAGGGGGGCAGCTGAAGTGGAAAAGATGTAAGGTGTGTTCAGAGAGCGGACCAGGGAGTAATGGGGGCTCTGGGAGTGGGGAAGGAAGGAGCTTTGCCATGGAACAGGCTGCAGGCACTTGCCCCATGGTTAAAATTGAGCTGGATCCTGGGTGGATGTGCCAGCATGGGACAAGTGTTTCAGGCTGCCAGACAGGAGTTTAGGTAGAACATGAGAAGGAGGGTTTGGTTCGTGCCTTTGCACAGTCCATCTTGCCCTAGCAGATTTGTTTTTTAGTTTCAACTTGTGCATTTCTGTATCTGGAGCTTGGGGCTGGGATTCTATCAGAAAACGGGGCATTTCCAACATTTTTTCCATCCCTGAGGTTTTCCTAGACAATTCTGCTGGCTTGCTTTTGCTGTCCTGCACTGGTTTTCTTACCTGTCTCCTTTCTGGCTGCCTGATCTGGAATTTACCTGTCACTCCTTTCCTTTGCATTCCTTATCTAGTCCCCTGTCTTGTTTCCCTTTGCAGTCCCAGTGCCCGGGTAGTTTAATGTTTAGTTGTTGGTTTTGTTTTGGTGTTTTTTGTTTTTTTTTTTTTAATTTCCTCTCCGGGCGTTTCCATTTGTCTTTGCAGATCATCTTCAACAAAGGCTTTGCATGGTCTAATTTGTTTTCTATTTCCAGCCTGGACTTAAAATAACTCCTTTGTTCCATGAATGGCCTATGCATGGATCCAAATCCAAATCCCACCTCCTCTCTCTCTCTTTTTTTTTTTTTTTTTTTTTTTTTTTTTTTTTTTTTTTTTTTAGTGTGGGTTTCTTTTTTGCTGTTCCTTGTCAGTATATTTAATTACTTGAAGTGTCCCTTTTGGGCATTTAGACTGCAGCTGCCAGTCAGTAGCTGTGGGTTGTGTGTGGCCATGTGTGTGCTGGCTCACTCTGCTTCCCAGCAGAGCAGCATGGAGTGGGCTTGCAGGGCTGTGGGTGCCCTGGCACGGAGCAGTGCTGCTTCTGCGTAACGGGAGCATCTCTGCCATCGCATCCCTGCTGACGAGCTTGCTCTCCAGGTCATCCACGGGTCATCTGTGTGCTTTTGCAGTCTCAGCTGCAACAACCAGGAGATGCTTAAGGGTTTTTTAAAATTGAATTAGGAGGGGAAAATCCAACCACGGGAGTAGAGAAGCCAAAGGGAAAGAGGCATGTTACGGCAGGATTTGAAAAACGAAGGCTCAGGCCAGCCAGGCTGATGCTGACCTGAGGCTGGAGCCATGGCCAGGCTGGCACTTGGTGTGTGGCTCGTGCATTTTAATAAGGCAGTGTCCCTGCAGCTGGGGAGTGACAGCCAAGCACTCCTGCAAAGAGAAATGGGTCAGTCTTGTTCATTTAAGCACATACGTGCCCCTCTGGGAGCTATCACAAGGTCACTTGCTGCCTTTTTGCTGAGGGCTGGGAGGTACTTAAACCATGTGAGATCCCTTGCAAGAGCTCATCTGACAAGGGGTGTCTGTGGTGGGGCAGGTGGTGCAGATGTCTCATCTGCCCCCAGGCAGCTGGATTATTCTGCCGGGGGCTGGGGTCGGAATGAGGGCTGTTAGAGGCAGGAGCTGCAGCATGCAGTTAGCGTGCACTTTCCTCTGCCAGAGCGTCAGGCCAGCATTGCATCGCTACCGAGAGCAGCCTGTCTGGCAAACCTGCCTTTCAAAACACAGCCGGGAGTGGGGCTGGCAATATCCAACCCTCCAACCTTGCTCCGTGCAGCAGCAGTGCCAAGATCTGTACACAAATGCTGGCAAAGGTTATCTTGGGGCAGAGCTAAACATGGGTCCTGTGCCCCAAATAGCTTGGCAGGTTTGAAAAGGAGAAGCACAAGTTGCAAATCCTGCTTTGTTGCTTTGGGCAGTGATAGGAGCAGGGCAGAGAAGTCACCTTTTATCGAGGATCAGAACCGGTTCTGCATGGAACCACGCTGAGGTGAGAGCTGATGCAGCCTTAGAGGTTTCTACCAAGGAGGCAGCAAACCAGGATGAGGGACCTCTGTGGCCTTCAGGACTGATTGTACCTTCTGACAAGGGTAACATCCTGCCCTGGGCAGCCCTGTCGTGGTGCTGCGATGCCCCTTCTTCCCCCAGATCTGCTGCTGTAACTGCTTGTGCATCTGCACTGTCAGTCAGACTAGGAAGTTACTCTGGTTCAAAATTCATCTGGCCAGAAAAGGAGGAGGAGGAGGAGGAGGGCTGCTGTCAGTGGGCAAGCTGGGGAATGGGGCAAGAGCTGCTTCAGGTACCACTGCTGAGGTGCACCTCAGGAACCGCAGGGTCTGGCCATGACGTGCAGGGTGCTGCCAGCCCGGCTCTGCTTTTGTACTCTGCCAAGGCAAGAAAAATGCTTTAAGATCACATGCAGGTACAAGCCTTGACCCCTGGGGTTGAAATAACCTCTCCTTCATGCCATGGAGCTCAGGGTGTGCCTGATCTTTCCTGTTGACCCTGTGCTGCTATTTTAATTTAAAACCTCTGTACCCTGCTGTGATTGAACACTACTGTGGATTCCCAGGCTGCAGACACTGACATGGTTGTCTTTGTTATTCTGAATAGAGCCCTAAATTTATGGCAGACGGCCTGCTTTCCTATTGAAAGGACTTAATAGATACAGTACATACAAATATTTGTGTGTAATGTCAACCGTCTTCCAAGAAAATTTCATGCACATATTGATTAGACAAATGCATTACCATTACATAGTGGTGCATTTCTTAGGAACGTCTCTCTACCCATTTTCATCACATCTTAATTATTTTTGCTTCCACTAGTCCTTTAAAACAAAAGTGGGTAAATCTCTTAACTGCTTTTCAGGTCTGGTTTTGATCTAGATCTGCATGGCCCGTCAGTGCCCTTACTGGCCGTGGGACGGCTGCCGACAGGCAGTCAGCTTTTCTGCTGTGCTGCACCCGAGTGTGTGTGGAGGGGTTTTTTATGCGTCAGGGGTTGGTTGGTCTCTTGAAGGTGAATATTCCAGCTCTGTATTAATTAAGCATTATAAGCAAAGAGCTCCTTAACTTTTTTTCAAAATACATGAGCTGACTGATGGATGATATATACCTATTCTTTCTTCTTTGGGGAGGAAAATTGTCATGTATTTAGCATTTCAGTAAAGATGACTTGGTTGTTTTTTCCAAAAACTTGCATGATTTAATGTAATTAAACATTAGCTTTGTTGTCAGTACTCTTCACTTAAATGTGCCCTGGTGAGTGCTAGCAGCATTTTATGTATTTGCCTTGTCTGTATGGTATGGTGGTACTAGTTGTTGCCTTTTAATAAGGTCTTTTGCAGTCATATTGTGGGCTGCCTCCTAACGTCTTTTGTAGACCATTCATGGTCTGTAGACCACAAGTTGAGTAACATTACTATGGATTTAAGAAACAAAATATTCTGTTAATCTTATTTCAGCGTGTTGCTGCCTACAGAAAAAGTTTTGAGCAGTGTGTCTTCATTAGGATCTGTAAAACTCTTAGGAGAATGGATGAACTGGTATTTTCTGTGAGCTGGGAGTGTCGTTCTCACCTTTCAGACAGAGGAACTAAGTCATGGGCTAATTATGGCAACTCACATTTATATTGTGTCAGTGGCAAGCCCAGGACCTCACCTGGGAATCCTGCTCTCCCTGAGGAGTATGGAGCCCAGTGGGAGGTTGGCTCTAACTTTGAGCAACAAGTGTGTTGAATTACATTAATTAAATTTTTTGCAACTCATTTTAATTGCACAGCCTTATTTTAGACCTGTAGGGTTTTTGCAAGGTACTGGCTGTATCAGTGTATTCTTTTGCTGCGGTCAGGAGCTGGGCTGAAGGACTGGCACGGAATTGTGTGACCCTGTGTCTCAGTGGTGTTGACTGTGAACCTGTAGATGACTGCAGGGCATCCTGAGCTTGTCTGTGCCCATCTTTTGGGCTGGATATGAGTGTGCTTGGTCTGATGCTGTACACCCCATTAGCATGAGCGGTGCCTGAGCTGGCATATGCTGCTGGGAACTGTCAGGTGCTTGGGCAGCCGGGTGTGTGGGCAGAGCTCCTCTGCATGCAGGTGAGCCTGCAGCAACTTTACACCCTGTGCTTTCAGGGTGTTAATTAGGGTGAACAGGTGATGAGGAAATTATTTTAGATGGTAAATGGCCCATGAAGAGGAGAAATAGAGGAGCAGGGTAGTGGTGACATGCTGCATGGAGTTGACAGCGGGGAGGAGGGTGGAGGTTTGGAAGGCTTCAGCAGTGGGGTGGCATCCTGGGAGTCTCCCAAGCAGGTGGAAATAAGTAGGTGCAGGAGGCTTGGTGAGCTCTCACCTCTTCCACAGGTTCATGTTGTAACCCTGGTGCTGGGCTTGCTAGTAACCTCCAGCTTTCTCCTGTTCCTAATCAGAGACTGTAAATCTCCTCCTGCCTAGTGCTGTAATGGCTAACGCAGGTCCGTGGATAAAACAGACTCTGATGGAGACTCCAACTGGGGGGGAAATACTTTTCCTGTGAGACAATGTCTGTTCCTCATCAAAATCAGTTGGGAAAAGTAGGAACCAAACAGTTCGATCTTAAAGATTTAAAGAGCCTGGCTGCACTATTGCTCTTTTATTTCCGTTGAGCTGCTCCTATTGTTTGTGTTCCTCTCAGAAATAATTAATAGAGGATTGCAGATGAGGAGACAACCCAGTATCTTTTGCTGGGGACAGGTGGCCAAGCAGAGTCCCAGCTGCACCCAACCCTGAAGCAGCACCTATACAGCCTCACTAAGATGTTATGCTCCCACTTTGCTCCCCAGTGGGAGCACCCCCAGCCCTGCTGCCAGCTGGCCATGACCCTCCTGCTCCCCCGGGTGGTGCTGGGCTGGGCACACTGCAGCAGCCCCTTCGCACATGGAAAAATAGGTTCTAAGCCATGGCATCTGTGGAACTGCCCCAGTGCTTGGGTGACCTCATTTGGCTCCAGCCCACAGTCCAGCTGCAGTGGAGAGCATCCGAGGCCTTTGGCCTGCGCTGGGATCTTGCTGGCGACCCACTGCTCTGTGGTTTGCAGGTGTGGAAATGCACGGGCAGCGCTTTGCCTGTTTGCAAGCACATGATTTTTACTCACTGCTTTCCAGGACTTACTGTTGAGGCAGAGGGAGTTTGCTGCCCTTGGTAAGGAAAAAACCTTTTCTGGTCCTGCTGGTGTGTGGTTAGTGCACACCACCAGTACGGCTCTCAAGGCAGCATGTCTTAGTGAAGGACAGTTTCACTGGCCCTTGTGTGTATATCCCTCTAGTAGAGAGCTAACTTCTTTTTCTGGTTGCACAGACAGAAGCGAAAAAGCTTTTAAACTGTTTTAGAGCTTGACACCATGTGACTTTGCACTTGGTGCTGAGTTCTAAAGCTGAACTTCTGATCTGAAGAGTTTAAAAAAAGAAAAATAATCCTATTTCTTTTGCTGTAGACAGCTGCCACAGCATGGTCTGGTCTACCTGCTGAGCTTCCAGGGAAGCAGTTGGCTTGCTGAAAGCTGCCAAGGGCTCTGGGCTGCCCCCAACTTGGAGTGTGTGTATATACATGTGTATATATACATATATTTACGTGTGCTAATTAACTCTTAGGTGGCTGCAAGCCAAGATGTCCAAGTTTGAATCCGTTATTAGGAAAGTACCTTAAACTTCTGCAGATCCCAGTGAGCTTTTGGAGCCCTTGAGAGCATCGTGCACGTGTCCTTGGCAGCTGCAGGGAGGGTTTGCCCCTGTAGAAGCACACATGGGCTGCATGAGAGCTGGGGGGTGGTGGTGTGTCCTGGGGGGTGAGCGGAGCAGATGTTGAACTGTGTGCACCCGGCATGACTCCAAGCTTTGGGTGGGAATCGGCGATTAAAATCCCATCCAGTCGGAAGCGTGAAGGGAAGTGGGGTAGTCATACTGGAAGCATAAATACACGCCGGCCGCCTTCTGGGTGTCTCTGAATTCCCCCGCGTGCGCAGGGGCTTTCCTGCCCCGGGGTGGATTGCACCGAGCGCACCAGTTCCTGAGTGGGGAGGCTGGCCCCGTCTGGGATGAGGGTCGGGCTGTTCCCAGTGCTTCCCGGGACCAGAGTGACAGGTAAGGTGCTCGGGACTTGGCGGGGATGTGTGTGGGTGCAGGGCTGCAGGGGAATCCAGCTCCTGTGCAGAGAGAGGGCCGAAAGCAGGAGGGGACCTGTTTATCCCTCCTCCTCCTGCCTTGAGAGCCAAACCTTGCTGGGTGTTTTCCCAATATAACTGGCAAAGTACCTTTTGCCAAAGGTGCTCAGCTGGCCCTCGGCAGGAGCATGGGGATGTCTCTTCATGTCTGTCATCCTTAGGCCTTAATGGAAAATTGCTGAAAAATCTTATTTTTGTAAAACTTGACCTCTTTGTAAGGGGGGCCTCCTTAGGTTGCTTTTCTTCTGCCATTGTTGCCCTGCTTGTCATGCCCAGCCTGCCGGGGACCGTTGCCTTGGTTTGATTTTTATTTCTGGCTGGTAAGCCGTGCGTGGATGCTGGCAAACCAGCGAGGCGGTCCTGCGCCTGCCTGCAGCAGATAAGTGGTTTATCAGCACAGGCTGATCTGTGGTCTCACAGGAGGAAAAAAAAAAAAGAAAAACTTCCCCTTTTCCTCCCCCCACTCCTTTTTCCACCCCCTTTTTGGTTTTTGTACACACCAACTGCTGTTTCAGTTGAAATTGTGTTGGCTCAAGCTGGCTGTGACCATGAGAGCGTGGGGAGATGCTGCTGGGGAGCTCATGGTGCTGGAAGCTTTCTCTGCTGCTCCCGGTGTGCTGATGAAAGAGTTTGATACTGCCACAAATCTTGCACAAATCTATATGTAACGTGTACCTCTGCTGGGGAGGAGGCGTACAAGTGTGCTCAGCATTGCGTGGGGTGGAGAAGCAGATCCTGGGGAGGGAGAGCCAGGGAGCTGGGGCTCTCCCTGCTGAGGGTCGGTCCTGGTGGCATCCCCCAAGCCCGGGCAGCAGTGGGAATTCATGCTTTGTATAACTAACCATTGGTATGAGAATAATAGTTAATGCATCTTAAACTGGCAGTGATGAAGGGCAGCGTTTAGATGTTTGTTACTTTTTCGTTGAAATCCAGACAAAACCCAGGAGACTTCAAATCCTCACCAAACAAACTACACGAAGTATCTATAAAAATCACTAAATTGTAAATCTCCCGGTGGGGCTGAGGGGGGGTCTTCCCATTTTGTCAGTTTTCATGATCTTGTTACAGCTGCAGAAACAATTGCAACACGTGGTAAAGCAGCAAATGTGTGGGTGTCATGGATGTTTGTGAAAATACCCTCAAGGCCACAGTGTCTTCTCTGGCTCCTGGTCCTGACCAGAAAGGCTCGTGTAATATTTACCTGGCACTGGAGCTGTGTGACATGCTTTAGTCCTGGGTTTTAGTGTAGCCCCATGGATGGAGATGGCTGCTGGGGGGGATCAGTCCCTCCTGGCATAAATCAGGGTTTACATCAGGTGACTGCAAAATGGTCACAGCTCACAAAGGAGGGCACTGGAAGAAACATGTGAGGCTGTGTGAGAGCATGGATGGGGAAGGGGATGGGCTGAGGAGGGACCTTGTGTCTTTGGACCTCGTGTTGAAGTCCTAAAACTCTAGCTTGTGTTTTTGGGAACTAAGTCACCACCCCTGAAAATACCTGTCTCCAAGAGACTTTGGAGACATAGATCAACAGGGTCCAAATAAATTGTTGGTGGTTTGCAGGCCTGGTCCTGCTGGTGCTGGGGGAAGGCTTTCCAGGGCAATCAGGTGGGATGGATTTGGGATAATCTTATGTTTGGACTTCCCTGTGATAGGAGTAATCCACAGCAAACACTTGGCAGTGGTTTTTGCCAAGTGGAAAATGGGGCTGCTGGAGGGCAGTCAGGGTTTGCTGATCACCCAAGACTTGATGTTCGGTTATCTCATGGTTGATTGAAATTTAACCTGCTGCTTTCCTGTTTCTTTCCAGTTGTTGCGTGACGTGGAAAGCACCCACGATGAAGAGGAGCTCTGAGCTCGCCTAATCCTTTGTCGGTTATTTGGAAGCAGCGACCGCCGCGCCTGCCCTTTCAACATGTCTGGATCTACGCAGCCCGTGACGCAGAGCTGGCGCGCTGCCGAGCCGCGCTACCCCCCGCACGCCATGTCCTATCCAGTTCAGATTGCTCGACCACATGCGGTAAGTCAAGAGACTTTCCTTCCCTACCCGCTCACGGGGTAGGAGGTGTGTGGCGTGTCCCTGTCGCTGGGGCAGTGGTTCAGCTGTGCTCATCTCGGATGTCGCTGTTACAGAGAAATCAGACCGTTTCCGTGCCTGTGGTATGGGATTTCATCGTTCCTCTCTCGTGGGATCCTCTTTTGTTTCTCTGTACAGTGCTTTCAGCTTTTCTCTCCCTTTCCAACCTCTTCCCAGTACTTGCCATGGCAGTGCTTGTGTGCTCTGGCTCATCACTTCTGAGCACCCAAGTCTCTCTTCCTGACAAGAGCACCCTTGGTTGGATGCAGCAACCAGCGTGTGGGGAGAGGGGAAGGTTGACCATCCTTGTGGAGCAGGAGCATGTGGCCTCCAGCTCTCTTCCATGTGGCCTTTCCTTGGTGCTGAGTTGCGAGGGAACGAGCATCCTCTCTTGTACATGGGCTGATACTTCCCAGCGAGCCCAGTCCTTGCTCCTCACACTCACGGGAGAGCTGTCCTGATTTCCAGCAGACCGCGAGGGGTGAATCTGCCCTTGGTTTTGGCCCTTGGGTCAGGAGATCTGCCCTTCCTTACGTGGCATTCCTGGTTGGTGGTGGCACTCCTGGGGAGCAAGAAGAAAACTGAGTTGCTGATTTTTTTCTGTTTTATCCTTCTTTATTTTTTCCCCCTCTTACCTTTGACCTGTGGTCTTGCTCTTGGATCAAGGCATAAGCTGGTGGTGATTTTTTTTTTAAATTTTTTTTTTTAATTTTTATTTTTGTTGGCTGTGTTTTGCTGAATGCACCAGAGCTTGCACAGGTTAATTCACCCAGATTCAGCCTCTCCTTTCTGTGCCATGTCACTCATGTCTGTGCTTGCTCATCCTGGATGGTTGAATGTTTTAGGTTTAAGCCTTTAACGGAAAAAACTCTCCTTAGTGGAACAGCTTTAGTCAGCTCAAGCTGCTTAAATGAATCTCATTAGGTGCTGGAGTGTGGCACATGCTTGCGAGGCTGCTCTTTGGAGCCGCTTCTTTGTGGGTTACAGCGAGGTGGCCACAGCCGGGAAGGTGCTTGTAACACAAGTTAGTGAGGAGACCTTGTCTCGGGGTTATGCTTCTGACAGTGACGGCTACTGAATGGTAAAATTCCTGCTGTGATGATTTTGAGGTTTGACCTGAAAGCCTGGAAACCCATAAAGTGTCAGTGAAGGGATGAAATCCCCTCATCTGTCCTCTTTGCTGAGCTTCAGCAGAGTGGCCGAGGGAGCAGGGCTGTTTGGAAAAGCTTTGAAATAGAAACGTTAAGGAGGGCACAGGACAAGCTTTTGGCTGCATTAGCTGGCTCATCTAGATCACTCGGGGCCTGCGTGCTTCTGCACAAAGAAGCTTTTCATCCAGGGTACGAGACACGCTGACCTGGTTCAATTTATGGGATTTCTGCTTCCATCGGTGCAAGCTTGTTTATTTGGACGGAACGACAGCATTTGTCTCAAAAAGAAAATCTCAGTTCTCTTTTTATCAGAAACCCGAGCAGGAGGAGGATGTGACCAGGTGAGCAAGATCTGTGGTTGTTGCAAAGCCATGATTTAAAAACATACCAAAGAAACCTCACTACCCAGTGTGGAGGTGGATTTTAGAAGAGTGTGAAAGGCTCCTGCCTTGGGGTGTTGAGTCCTTGTCTCCTTCAAACCCCGGTTGCTTCCCCTTAGTGTCGCAACAGCAGAATGAACCAAGCAGGGTAGTTGTTTGCAAGCTGGAGCTCTGCGTTTCTTCAACCTGCCCTGCTCTCTGGCTAGAGTGAATACTGTTTTTATTCTATCATATTAATGTTGGAAGAAGTTGCTGGCATTTGCTTCTAGAAGCTATTTTTACAGCCGCGTGTAATCTTCTGAAGTTATGTGATACCTTTGAGGTGTCTGGATGCAGGAGAGGTCTGAACTGAGATTTTTGGTTTTGGATGGAACGCCGAAAGCCGCCTCTCAGCAGGAGTGTGCCAGCCCCACACAAACCAAACGCACCTTGCCTCTCCTTGAGAGGGTAGGCAGAGCCTTTCTTGAAGCGTGTCCCTGCATGATCCACCCTGCTGCTCTCAGTTGTTTGCAAACACGTGTCTCTTGCTCGGCAGTGCCGTGATCTGGAACCTGGCCATGGCTCTGGGGCTGGAGCTGATCTCTGGTGGGATTGCTTGGGAGAGGAGAGCCCAGTTGCTTTGAAGTTGCTACACTGTTTAATATTAAAAGTCAGCGGTATTTGCTTGCATGTCTTGGCCAGGTCAGTTTTGTCATGGGGTGTGTTTGCACAGTGAGAGCTTGTTTGGAAGAAGGAAGAAGAGAGGCCAAAACCAACCCGACACTAGTGTGTCTTGCATCTAATTAGATTTTGATTCTGGTTTGCTGCATTCCATGACATCCTTTCCCGAGAACTGGGAATTTTTCAGCCCAAGGATCCTTACCCTGGTGGTGGAAACGCCCTGGGTCACTCCTGGGCACGTGCACAGGGCTGAGTGCAGCAGGGCTGCAAATGCTATTATAATATAAATAAATAATCACAGTCCAACTGTGACAGTCGCACCCAGGGAAATGTGGCGCGGCAGGAATACTGAGCTCAGAAATGAGCCGTGACATTATTTTAGGCTTGGAGACACTTTATGAAAAGTGGTTTAAAGGATTGCAGCTGTTTGATTTCACAGATGAGGCAAGTGAGAGGGGGTGTTGTGAAGGGGTAGAAGGCAGTGGAAGCAGGCTTGAGCATTTTTCTTGCCCCATTGTATAAAACCCAAGAGAATGGGGAGAAAGATGCATTTCAAGTGAATAAACAGAAATAATGCTTTGTATATACAGGCACCATCTCCCAGCAGCACATTCCAGGAGTTACTGCTGTGTTTGAAGCTGGCAGAGAAGATCCAGTACCAATCAAGTGAGGATGTTTGTTGGCTGGTTTCACTCCTAGGTGCCAGCTTTGGGCAGGGCTGGGAATCCGGGGGTCTGATCCAGACTGAGCTCTGATGGTGATGCAGGGTGGGTTGGTCCCCAACTGCATTGGGGTGTCGTCCTCCTCCTCACTGAGACAGTTCTGGTCCCAACAGCTGTCAGCCTGGATGTCAAAACAGTGCGATATTTTATAATGATCCTAGATTAAAAAAAAAAAAAAAAAAAAAAGACTTGTAAAAAAACTTGACAAATGTGCATACTTTTTTAGAGGGAAGAGGGAAGCTTGGTGAAAAGGTTCTGGTTTGTTTGACTTTAGGTAAAATTGAGATTAACAATGATTGGCACTTTTTTCATAAGAGCACTGAGTGGTTCTTGGCCCATCTGCAGGGGAAACATTTTTGTTTTCCATATTCATTAGCTGTAATGTTGGGGTGCTTAGCTGACTCCTGTCATGTTCAGCTTGGGAACAGAGGAATTGTTTGAATGCTCCGTGACCTTTAGCTGAAGGTGGAAAAACGCATTACTTACGCTCTTAACCTTCTAATGTGTCCGAAGTTCATGCTCTCTCAAAGGAAACTTTCCTGTGAAGGATATTCATTTTCAGGCAACCTGCAGATATTTTCTGTAAACAGATCGATTTCCCTGCATAGCACATGTCCCCCTTTCCTTTTAAAGCCTCTGTGATCAATATTCCCTGGGGACAGAAGGGTACCTCTCTCTTCCTCCCCTGTTGATCCAGTTTCTTGCTGTGCCCTCCTTACCAGTCCTCCTTCTCCTGTTAGTGCCCTGATATTTTGGAGCTGCAGGAGTGATGCAGCTTGGTTTGGTGTGCAGCCTGGGGTTTCCAGGGGGCTGGCATCAGCTGCAGGAGATGCTGGAGTTCAGGGCACACAAGGTGCAGCAGCCTCTGTGCCAAAACAGCTTCTACTTTTAGGGTACTGTTAGTGTTTTGCCTTCTAGAGATACTAAACAGGTTTGGGGATTGGTAGGATTGGGGTGTGTGCACGTGCATGTGCATTGATGCTCTGTTGTCACTTGAATCCCCATCAGCGAGCAGTATCCCCTCTCTGCAAGTCAAGAGGTCCTTGGCATGGCTCCTGCATGCTGTTTGCCCCATTCCCTGCACACTGCTTCATCTGAGGCAGAGAGGTGAGCCGAACCCCTCTGCTCCAGCTTTGAGACCTTTGTGCTTTCTCCTGTGCCATCTCTCCTGTCTGGGAGCAGCCCTGTAGTTCCTTCATTACACTCTCTGTTTGCAAACCAGCACTTGTGCAGGAGTGTCCCAGGCGGATCGTTTGGGTTTTTTTGGCCCATGATAAATAACTTACTTGTCTGTCTGAACCAGAGACAAGAGGTTGGTGCAAACTTGTGTGTTGATTTGGTGTCCTAGGCAAATTGTGGCCTGGGGGAATCAGGTGCCTTTCTGGACCAGACTTCTCCTCCCAGCAGTTTGAGCAGGGGGAGTTAAACCCAGCGTCCTGCCATGGAAGGTGCTGTGAGGAGATGGATCCTGAGATGGCAGGAGCTAGCTTGTCTCCGCAGTGACATGATCAGCATGGCACGGCGATGCCAGGTAAGCCTGCAGAGAGACAGTGTATTTTGCATTACAAGCGCGAGGCGCCTTTGCTGCTGTGTTGGTTTTCCTTGGAGTAGTTATTCACACTTTTATCTGCTGGAAGCAAAATGCCAGTCTGTGTCGGTGCTCCAGGAACTTACAGAACGGAAGAGTTTACGGTGCCAAATGCTAAAATCCCCCAGGCTGTGAAGAGCCTTCTCCAACCACCTCCAAGTGCAAAGAAAAGCCTCCTGCTACCAGCTGCGCAGCTGAGCGGGGGGCGGTTTTTGCCAGAGATTGGCATCCTGAATTCTGCCTGCTGGGCTCCAGCTAATGTTTTAAGGAATGGCTTGAAAATCAAAACCACACCTTGGAAATACTGGCTTTGATCGGGTCTGTCA